TTGAACTCAGGATCTTGCGCTTGCAAGGTAGACGCAGTGCCACTGAGCTAAATCCGGCCACAATTCCATTATTTTTGACCTGTCACACAGCTCTAAGCAAGATTCCAAGCCCATTTTCTCTCCACCTGCCAACCCTCTTCCATCGGAGCTCAAGAGACATGCCCAGCCCCCACGTTTCATACAGCTGGGCTTGCAGTGGGCTCCAGCACATTGATGACCACACAGGTAAAAAGCTTTAAAGGTAGCCTAGAAGGTCATCCAAATTCCCCCAGCACTGTGGCACCCAGGAGTCTAACCCGGGCCTGGGCTAGGCTGCTGTGGGGCAGATGGAGACAGGCAGGGGATAGGAGTGGAGCTGCTTTCTGAGGACTTGACCCGTCTGCCAGCCAGCAGACCGCTATAACCCTTTCCCAACTGTAAGGGTAGACACCTTGGCCCTCAAGAGTTTTATAATCATGTCCACATTGAGTGGAAGGGCACTGTCCTGAGCTGTGTTGTGCCTTCTCTCAGCCCCAGGAACCGTCCTGCTGCCACAGTGCTAATCCAGAGGACACTGTGTTCCTCGGAGGCCTGGGGGTGGCGGCGGGGAACCTGAGGTTGAGAAGGGAGAGGAAGAGAAAATTAGGTAAACTTTGGGAAACACCACAGTGGCCGCACTGGGCATCAACCGGCTGTGTCTGTGTGTAGCTGAGCGCTCCAGGTCTGGGATGCAGAGATGCCGGGCTATAAACACAGAGATGTAAGCAGGCAGGACCTGAGATGCTGCCTCAGTTTCCCCTCCTCGACCCTACTTTTCCCCCTCCAAGCCCCCATTCAAGCACTCTGAGAAGCTGATGATGGACAACGGCTTGCTGGGCACCTGGCGCCATCTGGGCGCCTCTAGCTGGAGCTCAGCCTTCCCTGTAGGATCTTGGCCAAGTTGCTTAATGGCAACAGAGGTGCTTACAGCAGGCTCGCTCATCCAGTGATTACAATACTGAGGTACTCTTTGCGCACCCATTTTATAGACAAGGAAACTAAAGCTTAGGGAGGCGGTATGACCTTCCTAAGGTCATACAGCTCATAAAGGGCAGAGCTAGAATTCGAACCAGGGCCTATTGAACTCCAAAGCTCTTGCTCGTCTTATAATCTCAGGACACAGATCAGAGATGACCACTTACTCTAGAGAAGAGGAAACTGGCCCAGAGAGGCCTATCAGAGGCCAACCAACTCTCCAATCTGCCTAGAAAGGGGGGAGGTGAAGGCTAAAGAGACAAAGACAAGAGAGACTTGCGTGATATCTAATATATGGGGGGCTGGGAGGTCAGTGCCACCCCGAGTGGGCAGAGACAAAAACACTCTGAGCTTCCCACAATTTATTGGGTGTACACAATAAGGTGGGCATAATCTAACGCTGACGAAAATCTTAGGTCACTGAGGATCTTATGTTGGATGAGGACAGTGAGAAGGGCAAAGCATCCTTACAATAGAAGGTAGGATGAGATAGCAGACAAATAAGGAATCTGTCCTTGCCCCAGGTGAAACCCTTCTCTCTCTCTGTCTCTCTCTCTCTTTCTCTCTCATTACTACTGGGTTCTCAAAGAACCAAAACATCTTCAGCTGATATAATTCTGCCCTTGAGTGTCGCAGTATCACAGGACCACTGAGGCCTCCACTTGTGACCAGAGACCAAGGCGTTATGTTGGCTCCAGGGTGAGAAGACACTGGGCCTTAGACAGTGCTAATCACAATTTAATTATGAAATTATTTTCCCCAGAATAGTGTAGAATGGTTCTCTGCAGAGGTTGAACCTGCCAAAGCTTGTACATGTAGAGAGCCAGGACCATTTCTTTTACCACCAATCCAAAGTCTATTTTGCTAGCCAAAAAAAAAAAAAAAAAAAAAAA